GAAAAAAATCAGATAGGAATGTAGTTTGGGGCCTTTTTTAAATAAAATATTTTCTTTTATTAATATGGAAATGAAAAGATGTCTGATAACCTTTCGTCAACCAGGAACATTTCTGCTTACTCTAGGGAATTTCTTTGGGCTGACGTTTTATCAGGCTTACACTATCAATTCAAAAGTTCTGCAAAGATGTCAGAATGCTCTAGATAATCAAAAATAAGACATTTGTTTCTTGACTTCTATTTTTGGTTTGGTGCCTCAACTATATTTAAATTGGAAAAGGTGTTTTTGCCAGGGAAATATAAAATGGTTTTATATTCACATATTTGAATACAACAATGGGTTAAGTATTGTTTCACTTTAAAAAATTCCAATATGAGAGAGAAATATAGTCCAGTGGGTAGGATACTTGCTTTGAATATACCCAACCCGGGTTCTATCCCAGGTTCTACCGGGTCCTCCAAACACCTACAGGAATGATCCCTGAAAGCAGAGCTAGGAGTAACCATGAGCACTCCCAGGTATGGCCCAGAAACAAAAAACAAACCCAAAAATTTCCAACGTTTCACAAATACACATTTTTTTATCTGACCACTTACCAGCCCTAGAAAACAAATTCTATAAACCCAGAAAGTATATTTTTTACTAAGGTAATAAAAGTCAACCTGAATGTTTTACAACCCGCCATCAGGCACAAATCTTTACTCTCCCAGGTAAGTTGAGATTTGAAAAGAGGAATCCTGAGCCTGATTTAGAATTATGCGAGTTCACAGAGGTCACTTTTATATTCCAGAGTATGAAAACCTAAGCCCATTAGCATCCTGCTCTCTGAGCTCCATCTAAATCTTTATCACCTCTATTTCTTGCCTCCCTTAGTACTGCCTCCACCCACCCCTTACCCAACCTAGAAACCACCAAATCACATGGCTTTCTGCCAAGAAGCCTCTTTCTCCCATAGTTTCAGGAGTGAGAGTTCTCAGAATTAAGATCACCCATCAGGTTTCCAGAGATACTCTCCAAAATCAGGTCCTGAGACCAGGTAGAGAGCCCTCACTCACGTCCATCCCCTTCCCAACTCTTGTCCCAAGATAAAATAGGAAACCTAACCTGTCTTGCTACCTGCCCGTGGTTACAGCATGAGAACAATAAGATACTGGGGAAATGTACTGACAAAATCAGAAACAAAGAGTGAATTATGTTTTGTTAACTAAAATAAACCTAGAAACCAAATATCTAACATCTAGAAAACAAATCTAATAGAATCTTGTCTAATTTATAGTCACCAACCTCCCTTCATAGAACAAAAGTATTTTTCAAACTTGATCTCAAATAATTTTTATGACATTCAGATAGTTCAAACAGTTTTCCTTAGTGTATTAATAGGAAAGCTTAAATAGAAAAGAAAGCCAATTTCCTGAAAATCATCAATAGGTAGTCACTGTCCTCCTGTTGTTCATCGATTTTCTCCAGCGGGCCCAGTAACGTCTTAATTGTGAGACTTTGTTGTTACTGTGTTTTGCATATCGAATACGTCACGGGGAGCTTGCCAGGCTCTGCCGTGCGGGTGAGATACTCTCGGTAGCTTGCCGGGCTCTCCAAGAGGGGCAGAGGAATCGAACTCGGGTCAGCCATGTTGGCTGCGTGCAAGGCAAACGCCCTACCTGCTGTGCTATCGCTCCAGTCCATCAATAGGTAGTAAAAAATAGAAATAAAACCATATCCATCCTAACTTATTAAAGTTCCTGGGCATGATATTCTGTCTTTGACTTTTTTTTCTTTTGCAATGCAGATAATTAAACCTACCACTTCACACATGTGAAGCATATGTATGTGCCTTTGACTTGCAACTCCTTACTTCTAACACCAGTTAGTAGAATTTAACATTCCATTTAAGAAAATATTCCCCAAATATAGTTAAGCATCTAAAGTCTAAAACGGCAATTTTTACTAATTAAGCCTCAAAATTATGTTTCTTTCCAGAACCTTACTGTCCTAAAAAAAACTACATGCTGGCATCTCAGTGGCATCCCTTATTCTAAGGAAACTTAACTTCTGTGCCCGATGGCGGTCAAGTTTCCGGGTTTGCTCATAAATCTGCTGTGGGAAGAAGGGACTCTACTCCCATTCACACAGGCTCTATCTATGGCGCTCCAGAGAGCACTGCAGTTTGGTGTAAATGTGCCAACTTTAAAGGTGTAAAGGGAATAGTATCTTATCTAATAGAATCTAAGGGAATAAAACTAAACTTTTAATTCTAGAGACATGCAGAAGATTTGCTGTAAAAACTGAGATGCTAGGGCTGGAAGCTGACTCAGATGGCTGGAAGGCATACCTCCCATGTGAGAGCCCCAAGCCCTGGCATCACATGGTACTCTGAGCACTGCTGGGAGCAACTCAGAGCACTGTGAAGGGAGTATCCCCAAGCACTGCAGGACATGACCCAAAAATATAACAAAATTGATTTAATTTATAAATAAAAAATTGAGGGTCTGTAGGGGCCAAGGAAATAGCTCAACCAGTAATGCACATGCCTCACATGTGCCACAGTTCAATTCCCTTGGCATCACCTGCCCCCACCAACCTGACACTGCCAGAGGTGAGCCTGGAGGCCCATTATATACACTGAATATAGTCCCAATAAATAAAAAAAATTGAGGTCCTGTAATATATTAGCTATGAGGTCATCCAAAGCACCCCCATTTATGGCAAAACGTCAGACATTCCTCCATACCAAACTTGACTTTCCCTGAGCTTTACTTCACACATAAAACTCCAGGCAAGAAGACACAGTGTTGTTCATGTGTGTTCCACTTACTTACAGAGAGTTAACAGACCTAATACTTCTTTTGGAGCTGTCACTCTGACAATTTTTATTTCATCGGAGAAATAAAATGGTCAAATAAATTGATCTAGGTTACTTTAATAAAGGACAAAAGTCGACTTTGTCATATGGCTCCACGAAGTGTACAAAAAAGGGATTAAAATTTTAGTGTTTCTTTCTGAAGACTTTCTTCTTTACTCCATCTTTATGAAGTTTTTTTTTTTAATTTACCTCTGCACATAAATTTAACATAAGCGTATGTTAACACATAGGGCTGGAGTGATAGCACAGCGGTAGGGCGTTTGCCTTGTGCGCAGGCAGCCTGGCTGAGCCAGGTTCGATTCCTCTGCTCCTCTCAGAGAGCCTGGCAAGCTACCGAGAGTATTCAATATGCCAAACACAGTAACAAGAAATCTCACAATGGAGATGTTACTGGGCCCGCTCGATCAGGAGGGCAGTATATTAACACAAAGAAGCTAGTACATAAACAGATCCTCAAGAATATTCAAGAGTAATCTGGTAGGCTTCAATTTACTAGAATTGTCAAGTATCAGATGTTGTATCTTTAAGAACCAAGGTTCTTCCAAAGTTATCTGATGGTACAAAAAAGTAATAAAACCTCACAGCCTTCATACTCTTCCTTTGTAGCTAACCACAAATGGGAATGTATTAGGAACTATGTGTTTTGTGGTTAATATCTATATCTTCAATTAGAATATAAGCTCCCTGTGGGCAAAGGTTCCATGTTCCTATTTCACTCTATGCCCAACACAGTGGCCTATTTACAGTAGAAAATAAAAAGAACAATGAGAATAATAATTTTTTAAAAAGTGTTACATTGGAGGACATAGCATGCAAAGGTGAAATAAGCTTTCAGAGTTCCTGAGATTTATTCTTGGGGTGTCCTGACAGATTTAAATATCAAGCTAAAGAAATGGTATATTGACACCAATCTACAAGTAAATTATTCCTGCAATAACTATGAGGCTCATAAAACCAATTCACTTGGTGGTGATTTTCCACATTTAAAATTTTACAACTTCTGTGGGCATTTGTTTAAATTTAACCCTTGCATATGAAACCATCAGGGTGTGTGTGTGTGTGTGTGTGTGTGTGTGTGTGTGTGTGTGTGTTTGGAGGAACAGATGAGGCAAGCAGATGCAATTATTCCTAAATTCCACTACTCGAAATCACAATATTTCATTTCAAATGTTGCAGAAAAATAAATCAGAGAACGGGCTGTTGAATAGTGCCCAAAATCTCCAAGGCACTTCTCTCTGTTTTCTAGATAATTCTAAGCACTGATAAAAACTCTTTGAAGTGGAAGAGTAAATATTATCATTTGATAGTACTTGGACCCAACAGTGCAAATACCACTGCATTGTGTTACCCTCCGGGGGCTCCAGGCACGAAGCACGTGCCCACGGGGTTGCTATGGAGGAACCTAAGCGTTTTGTGAGGGGTAGGCCAAGAGGTAGCCGGCCGGGAGGAACGCCCCACACCTTCATCTTCCTCAACCCCCCTTCTCCTCTCATGTGAAGCTGGGAAATGCTGTGCCGAAAGCCAGAGTACACAGCGGGGAGGCGGTTTGCCTAGCACGAGGTCATCAGGGTTCGACCCGCGTCACCCCTCACGGTGTCTCGAGCCCACCAGGCGTGGTCCCTGGGAACCGAGCCTGGAGTAATCCCTAAGCACCGCTGGGCGTAAGCCCCAAACAAACAAAACCAAGAAAACGGGGGTGGGGAGGTAGGGACGTATGGGGGGAGGGGTGGGGGACGGGGAAACTGGGAAATGCTGCCTTTGGAATATATGCTCCGAAATATTGGGCTATTTTCAAACATGTGTTTTTGTCCTATCAAAACGGAGGACCACAAATGCGCGGTGGTAAAGACCCATTCCTAGGGGGCTTTCAACCCCTCACATCAATATGGACATGTTTTGGGGGACTGGGGTGGGGCTGGGAGTGGGGGTGGGGGGGAGTCAGGTAATCCGCGGCAAGTGGCGGCGGGAGGAGGTGGAAAGGAATCCTGGTGCGGGTGTCGCCGGGTCCCTGGCCCGCCACGCGGCGCAGGTGAGCCGACGAGGGGTCAGGAAGCCCCCAAAGGGACTCGGAGATCCCACGGCCTGCACCCTGCGGCCCGGGAGGCGGGAACGGTGGGGGACACGCAGGCGGGGCGCTCACCTTGCCGGGGAAGGGCCCCGGGAGCAGCAGCTTCAGCGCCTGCCTCTTCAGCTCCACCAGGCGGGCGTTGCAGTTCTCGCACCAGACGCCGCGGTCCGAGCCGGGCGATGAGCCGCCGCCGCTGCCCGAGCCTGGGGAGCCCGTGCCGAAGCCCGGCGAGCCGCCCAAGGAACCCGGCGAGCTGGTGCCGATGCCCGGGGAGGCGGGGCCCGGGGACCCAGTGAACGAGCTCGGGGACGAGGTGCCCGAGCCCGGGGACGGCGTGCCCGACGAGCCGAGCGCCGAGCCCGCGCCCTCGGGGGTGGGCCGGCTGGAGGCGCGCGACTCCTCGTAGGCTTTGCGGTACCAGCTCTCGGGGGAGAAGGGCGCCGCGGGTTTGGTGGGCGAGCAGACTTCATTCACCTGCGAGGGGAGACAGCGCTGTCAGGGGGTCGCGGTGGGGCCGGCTCCACGCCCCTCTGGCCAGCCCCGAGACCTGCGCCCCGCGGGGGTCCGGCTGAGCGCCCAGGACGCGCGTCCGGGTCAGCTCCCAGCCGGGCGGCCAGATCGGCCTCGTCCGGCCACCTCAACGGTCCTTAAGTGAGCCCTCCACGCCCACCACAATCGGGTGCCCCTGGGACGGTTCCCCGCGGCCTAGAGGGTCGTTTGGAGGGTGTCGTGGTTTCCTGCCGGGGTAACCCATCTACTCCGCCCCTCGCGCTTTGGTACTGGGCAGGCATACCTGCTACAGCCCGGGTTCGAGATCCTAGAAGCCGCTATCCCCAGGGGAATGCGGGGAGTGGGGGTTGGGGGAGTGGAGGGAGTGGGTAGGTGCTGTGATTTCTTTAATTTTGAGGCATTTGGGGTGCGGATTCATTGGTCGGGATCCTGAAGGTGAATGAGAGGCTCTCTCGGCTCTGGGAAGATGGTCCCAGGGAATGGCAGCGATTTCACCGGGAAACCCTCTCTGTTAAACCTCTGTTTAACTCTGCCTAAAAGTGCAGAAATGCTGCAAAAGTTAGGGGTGCGGGGGGAAGCGATGGAAAGACAAAAAATCCCAGGGCCGGGCGGGCGTGCGGGCATCCCGGACCCCGAGCCGCCTCCGCGCACGCACACCTCCCGGGCTCGGTTGGAGACCGCGCCGCTGCAGCGCCCGCAGGGTTCGGGGCCGCCCCGCCGGGCCACGGGCTCGGCCACCGGGGGACCCGGGCCGGCAGGGGCTGTGGGAACGCGTCTCCGGAGAGTGCCCGTCCCCACTTACCGCGTATTTCTTGCCCCTGGTGGAGACTGCAATCCTCTCTTTATTCCCAGCTACCGAATTCATGATGGCTTTTCGAGAGCAGAGGGTCTAAATGTTCCAACCCACGCTACATCCACAGGGTCTTCCGACCCAGCAGTGTCCTCCAATTCTGGGGCAGTCTCCTCGGTCCGTAAGTCAAAGGTTTGTGAATGCGAGGGGCGGGGAATCCAAGCAAATGGACCCCAGAAGTAATAGCACCAATTGGCAAAAGGGTTGGAGGAGCTGGTTTGCTCTCTTCAAAGAATGCTTTTCCGCATCCTCTTCAGCTGCTGCCTCGGGTCCCACGTTCTCCTTTCCCGGTCACATCCAGCTCGTGGGCATTTCCCTCTGCCCAGCCGGTCGGTGTGCCTCCAAGAGGGCACCGAGAAATACTAGGCGGCACGCGGCCGCCGCGGAGACGGGGGGCGGGGGGCGACCCCTCCTCGCCGGCCCCCGCCTGCCAGCCAGGCTGTGGGAACTTGTCTCCCGCACCGGGCTTGGGAACTGAGTTCAAAGAAATTCTCCCAAAATATAAAAGATCCAGACTGGGGAGGAGCCTCGGCGTGTCGCCGAGCCAATATCCGCCGGGCCGCCCTGCCTGACAGTTGCGCGAGGGCAGCGCGAGGGGCGGCTCGGCGTGGCGAGCTGCCGGGGCCGGTCAGCGCGCGCGGGTGCGCCGGGGCGCAGCGCGGAGCCTCGGGCACGACCGGCCAGCCGCCCGGGAGCCCGCCGCCTGGCTGCCGTGGCCGCGGAGCCGGCCAGGATCCATTTTATGCGGCGGCGTTCCGGCCCTGACAGAGCGGGGGAGGGGGCTCGTAAATCTCGCTCCGGGCCGCGAAGTTCCCGGGGTGCAGCCCGGGTCCCGGGCTCGGCCGACACCCCACGGCGCCCGTCCGCCCGCCCGCCCGCCCGCCAGCCCCGGGGCCGCGGCGCGCGCGCTGGCCGGCCCGAGTGCAGCGCCGCGGAGCCTCCCCCGCCCCCCAGTGCTTTCTCTTCCTGGCCGGGCTTGCAGTTCTGCCTTTGAAACGCCGAGTACAAGGGATTGAGTCACAAACAAGTCCACAAACACGCCGGGTCCTCCCCCCCGCCCTTTGTTCTCCTAGACCTGCCGGGCGAACCTTTCCTGGGATGGTCCTCCCACCCCACCCCCGGCCGGTCGGAGGGTCGCCCTCCCACCCCAGCGGGAGAAATGCGGGTTGGGTTCACCCCCTTTCGGGGCCCCGCCTTCGCAGGGCCCCGCCGCCACCGCGGCCGGGACAGGTGAGCCCGGCGCTCCTGCGGGCCTCGGCGGGTGCTGGGCAAACTGAGGGGCTCGTCCCGCTGCACACGCGTGGCGCGGACGGCGCGGGCCTGGAGGAGGGGGTGTGTGTGTGAGAGAGAGCTGCCCTTCGCCTCGCCCGGCCGGGCCGGGTTCCTCGGCACCCCTCCTGGCTTTCCTCCCCGCACCGGGGGGCTGGCGGAGTCCCGGGAGCACCCAGTCCACGCCCCTCTCCCCGATTCCGCCCCCCGCGCGGCGCCCAGGGGCGCAGGAAGCCGGCGTACGCCAGGCTCCACACGTGGCTGCTCCAGGGTGTCATTTTTCATTTCCCGGGAGGACATTTCTTCTGGTGAGCCGGCAGGTCTGTTTTGTTGTGACCTTTAATTAACACCCCGCGAGACGCCTCTGGGAGGACCTGCTTGGTGCGGGGATCACGTGAGGTGTAATGGCATCTCGCGCCCCCTTCTCGCCCCCCTGCAAAACGGGGTCCGGGGCAAGGCGAAGGTACGGGGGTCGCCGGGGGTTTTCCTAGCGCTATCCTCCTTCTGAGATATGGAGGCTAAGCCAGTAATCTTCTGGGGTGCGATATCACCCGGGCGACGCCCCCCACCCCCGCGTTCCTCGGGGGAAATGCCTTCCACGCCCCCCTCGCGCGGCCATGCACCACCAGCTTCCCGCCGCAACCCTTGCGTGGGAATATTTCACAGCCCCTACGGCGAGCTAAGGTCAAAATGAAGACATCGAAAGCCGTGTGGAAGTTTCCATTACGTTCCTACTTCCAATTTAACGCGATCGTAACAAGAGAAGACCTTAGGGGAGCAGGTACGCCTGCAGGCAGCACGCGCCTGCTCCCAGACGCATCTGTATTCCACCCAGGGGCCGCGGAAAATATCACTGCCATTAGCCACGCGCCGCTTATCAGCCGAAAAGCAGCGTGTGGCAAGGTGAAAGAGACTGGCCTGTGACGCGGTGGGCAGGGAAGGTGGGGTGTCGAGGGAGAGCTGTTGGGGAGCTGCAAGATCCACCTTGGAGACCGACCCGAGCTGGTCTGATTTGCATCCCGAAGAAGTTGCAGCCTCGATGCGTGTTGGGTGAGCTCTGAGCGCCCTCTGTTGATCAAAATGTGCAACTAACCGGAAAGTTGGATTGGCGTCTTTAAAAAAATTGATGTGACAATCATATACAGTGAAACCTTTATATTTTTGTATTATCACTCTATTCCATCCTTAAATTTAAGCTTCAACAAATAGCCTTACAATAATTCAGGTAACCAAGGTTTTCTCATGGAAGGCAAGGCGAGCAATCGCTCTTGTTTCATTTTTCTGTAAATAACATGTTTCACTTTTCTGTACATTAACAGTGGCCCCGAATTAACATTGTACATGATCAAATAAGCAATTTTTTTCAAGTATAACTGCAGTTAACTTTACAAAAGTAAACAAATATAGGTAGGCTTTACCTGGTAGACTTAGAGATTTGAATATTTAAGGTAGTCCCTTGGAGGGGAGCGGGTTGAGCTTTCCTCCCCGCCCCGACCAGGGCTACGGCAGCCGAAGACCGCCAGGACCAGCCACCACCATGCTGAGACCACTCTCCGCACACATGAAGGTACTGGCAGAGGGACAAAGCCACGCGGGTTCCGGGGCCGAGACCTCCAAGCCTACTCGAATTGGAGTCGAGCATCTTCCACCCAGATCCTCCAAATTCCAGTAGGCGGGGGTCACACCCACCACCTGGCCCCCTGGCGCCGTGTAATCCCATCAGCGGCCAAGACTCAGAGACTATAAAATCCAGATCCCGGAACCGCGCGGCCGCATTTGCGGCCGCGTGACATCTTATTATCTCATTCCTACTTTGGACAAACTTGCAGGCTATCGAATGTAGCCTGCCCACAGGGCAGAGTCTGGCAAACTCCCCGTGGCCTACCAAATATGCCAAATACCAGTAACAATGATGGGTCTCATTCTCCTAAAGAGCCGTGAATATAATCTCAGGGCTAGGATGAAAGAGATGTTACTGGGGCCTGCTCGAGGCAATCAACGATTAACAGGATGATGAAATGAAATGAAATGAAAAGGTAGTGAGGTTTCTAAAACAATGAGAATTCTAAGACTTTATGTTGGTCTTGAACTACCATCACCAGAGTAAACTTGCAACTGACAAATTCATCTGCCCAGTATATAGTATTTTCCACTTTAACAGTCCATCTACAGGGTAGGAGTAATTAGCAACACCAATGACTTTAAGAAATTAATCGTCCTCTTCTTAGGTTTTATTTTAGCCTTTGACAATAGATATGACACAGAGGAACTTTTTTTTTGTAGAAGTGCATGTAGTTTTTTAAAAATTGCAGAGGTTCTGTGAATAATGATATTGTTTATGATGATTTCCCATGTATATAATCCTCACACACACACACACACACACACACACACACACACACACACCCATCACCTGTGTACCCCTCTCTCTTCCCTAAGGAGCCCAATGTTCCACACTTAAAAGCTCAGTTTTGTGGATCAGTTCTCCTATTGTGTTGCCTGTGGCCCCATGTGCTACCTTGCTGTGTATCTTTAAGATTCATACATGTGAGATATGATTCTTTATCCCTTTCCTCCTGACTGGCTTCACTCAGCATGATATCCTCCTGACATCATAATGATATTCTACATCCTAGTTTCATGCATGTCGTGTCATAATTTTGTTCTTAAAGATGCACAGTATTCTACTGTGTGTGTATATCACAACTTCTTGACCCATTCATTTGTGGTTGAGCATTTGGATTGTTTCTATGTCTTGGTTATTGATTGCATCAATCACTGCAATGAACATGGGTATACATATGCTCCTTCGAATTAATGTTTTTGTGTTTGGGGGATTGATGCCAAGAGGTAGTATTACTGGGCCTCATGGAAATTCTGTTACTGTTTTTCTGAGATGTTCATTTTCCTTCCCATAGAGACTGAACAAGATGCCATTTCTACCAACGGTGGATGAGGGTTCCTGTCTCACCACAACCCCAACAATGAGAAACAGAACATTTTTTAAATTTTTATTTTATTGAATCATCATGAGATAGAGCATTACAAAGCTGTTCGTGATTGGGTTTCAGTCACACAATGTTCCAACACCCATCCCTCCACCAGTGTAATTTCCCAGCACCAATGCCCCGTTTCCCTCCCCCAAATCACCACAGCCTGCCTCTATGACAGGCATCTCTTTTCTCTCTCTTTCTCTTTCTCTCTCATTTTAGGCATTGTGGTTGAGACACATAAACTTTTTATGTGTACAGTTCTTTGAATTTTGATAAATGAAATGAATATTCCACAACTTTAAAGTTTTTTATTAGACTTTAGAAAATCCTTCTATTCAGACATCATTCTGATGTCTTTCACCATAGTTTATTTTCACCTGGTTTTGGTCCAAAAATGTAAATAATACCTAGAATCCTGTGAATTTTAACTTTATGCTGAATATTATGGATGCTCCACTGTAGGGATGCCAGATGCTGTTATCTTCCTTTAAGAGTATTGATTTTATTCTAGCAGGTCTTTAAGTTACTGGTAGATAACCTCAAACTAGTAGAAATCTGTCTTTATGCATTGTTAGATTATTTATATTTAGCTTTTGCCCTTAGGCCTAAGAAAACTACTTTGACCTTGATGCTTGTTCTCTAGCCCTAAGGAAGTCAAAAATTCCTTTTATGAATGAAAAATTTTATGCCATCTTCTAGAAGCCCAAAGCTTCTCTCTACATCAATTTATTAATACCATTGAATTCCTGAGTGAAAAAATAGTGTCTCCATATTATATACATAAGTACAAACTATAAAGAAAATTAAAATCTATTACCTGGCTAGAAATGAAACTCTTTTTTTGTATTCTTTATTATCTAATTATTAAATTAACATTACTTCTTGGAAATGTTTCGTGGGAGTTTTATATTTTCAGAAAGGGAAATTCCATTTCCCCATCAAAACCAAGTAAAAATAAACTATGGTGAAAGAAATCAGGGGTGTGTCTCTGTTATATTATATAACTAAAATATATTATGCATCCTACCTTTTAAAGTCTAAAATTATAAATCAGAGGTTGAAATAATAATGAGGAGTCAGAGAGATAGTATAATAGGTAAAGCACATGTTTTGAATGCTGCCAACCTTAGTTCAATCCCTAGTAACATATAGGATCTCCAGAACCCCACCAGGAATCACTTCTGAGCACAGAGCCAAGAATTAGCCCAGAGCACTACCAGGGATAATGTCAATACCATAAATAAAGAAAACTAGAGGTTTTCTAATTGCTAAGCAAAGGAATACCAAATTCAAAAGATTTAATTCATTTTTAATAGT